GTTATAAGATTATTTTACTTAATGGTGGTACAGTGTCATTGGCCAATGTGATACACTTGAGAGAATAAATACATATTGTTTTCTTGTATTTAAAAGACAGAAAACTCTGGCTTACCTATTTCACTGGTTAGTAGGTGTTCTTGAGGAGGCCAGTAAGACACTTAAGATGGAGGTGCTTGTGGGTACCTTCCTGCTTATCCACATGAATCTTCTTATCTGTGCAAAAAGGGTTGGAGATCAACCAACAGTAGACAAAACTTCAGGTGGACGCGAGTTGTGAGTCAAGTTAGAAAAGCGTATTTGCTACATACACGATGTACAAAATGACCTATAGACAGGAGCAACAGATTAGCAATACAACAATCTTTCACTTAAAATAGTCACATTTGGGTTGTGTAATCCAGCCTGACTAGCTGACTCTCTAATATTAGTCTTGAAAGAATGCAGTGTGTACAAATCTATATTTATTTATTGCTGTACCACTCGTGTCCTGGTATCTTACCTGTACCTGCCCATCTTTCATCATTCTGGTTCTGAATACTTAAGTTCAGTGTCTGTTTCCTATCCTAAAACTGTTGTTGTTGCTGTCTATTCATATCCATCTTGGCATTGTACCAGCCAGGCCAGGCAATGAAAGAAATTGGTTTGTTTCATGTGTTCAGGTAATTCAAGATAGACTAAGTGCAGCGGGAAGCTTCTGCAGAGTAATTATGTTGGAATGGATTCCTTGGTTTGTGACCAACTTTCTCACATCCCCATGGTAATTTGATGCTGATGGCCTCTTTCCCAGCAGTGGCTGTATGCTGGGATAGACTGTTTGTCTACTAGCCTCCAAACTCAAAGTCAAGACACTCAGACCCTCAAACCTTGAACACACATTCTGTGGGCAATCTCATTCCCCTCTTTGAAAAGGAAACACAGCAGTTCTCAAACCTTGGTAAAATTCACCAGGAGAATCACGTGACTGTGCAATGTTGAACATTTAGTTTAATGTTTTCATAACAGAAGGTTAATGAATTTTAAGTGCTTGTTGTACAACATGCCTTCTGTAGATTATGTTATCTTTGAATTGTCCTTTCTGATGATAGCCTCTCAAGTGACTTTTTACAGATATACTTTCAGTCATGTTAGTAAAGATGCTGCACTTAATCGGCTTGCATAAAAACTCAGGTTAGCTCTCTGTGAAGGGTTAGTGATCTTGCTCTCAAGTTTCAGTGCTGCTTGACTTGAGTTGGGTCTTGTAATAAAAGCTTGAAAGCTTGTCAGATATTTACAAAGATGTCATGTAACTTCTCACACAAAGGTATGAAGCATTCTATGACACAGGAAGTGTGTCAGGGATTTTGGGAGAAGCGCTGACACTCATATACTCTGCTGCATGTATGTAGACTAATGTATTTCAAAAGCAATTGAGCCAAATCTTTATTTGAATCCATGTTGGAAAACTTTAGTAAAAAAAGAAACTTCAGTGCTGATAACTGTTGTGGGATTTTAACCTATTGATGCTCATTTTCTCAAAACCTCTTCTTAAATGATACTTTCATTCAGGGTCAGTTGGCATAGCAGAGCTGGCCTGTGGAAGGTTAAAGCCTGATGTAACATTTTCAGAGGGGTCAATAATCTATACACTTGTAGCGGGATGTGAGTGAAATCCATTATGCCTGTGTGTTTCTCTGTAGTTTCCTCCTGTATGTGTAAGCAAATCTTTCTCGGCTCTAGGGAAGAGGTGTAGAACAGCATGAAAGTAATGGGCATGTTTCTAGCAATCTTCATGGGAGCTCAGTTTCCAATGCCAGGAGGTAAACCTGGAGAAGGCAAATATGGGTGATTATGCTGGCTTTGTTTGCCAGAGTTAACCTCAGTGAAAATAACATGCTGACTGCCTTCCAAGGTAAAGTACTAGAGTTTTTTGCACTAAAGTGGTGGCTCTTCAGTGTTAGAGTTCTCTAAGTGTTATGGACTCAAGTGTACAATGTCAGGGCATCTATATTGGACTGGTAGAGAACCAGGAATACCCAGACCAGGCTAACAAGTGTGTGTTCATAAGAAGTATAGATTGCCAAAAACTAAGACTTGATAATGAGGATGCTAAGTCTTTCCACCGTAGATGCCTGATTACGCTAGTTGCAGGTGAAATACCATGAATACCTGCAGAGTATTCATTGGCATTTAAACAGGTCAGATACATTTTTGGGACAGGCTTAGTTTCAGTTGTGAGGTGCCAATCCCAGTTAGTCTCATTGTGGATGCCTGAAGAGTAATCTGGTTAATGTGGCTCTTATACCACTCAGCACTGTTGACCTGTTAAAATATTTCAGAATTCAGCACTTCAGAGAGCTGCTTTGACTGCTTTGGTGAGTAAATGGTAAATCTAACTGAAACAAGCAGAAGAGTTACGTGAGCACTGCACAGAGCTTCTGAAAAAATGACTCAGTCCAATGTGGATGCTTTCTTAGCAGTTTTCTGTTTGCAGACTGTACTGTTAGCGTACCAGAGATACTGTGGGCTAGCAACTTCTAGCACTATACACTCTGGCAGTATGTGCCTTTCAGATCCTTCTTTAACCTAAGATCATACTGTTTTCTTTTGTTTTCTTCTGACAGTAAGAGTGCTTTTGCTAATAGTCTTGCCACACATTGAGGGCACTTTTTTAAAATGGTCTAACTGTTCTTTGATCCATTTTGGTGTTCTGAGGTATATCAAAGCCCAGAGCTGAAAAGTTAGTGTCACTGCTACTGAAGAGAGATGCTTTAAACAGATAATTTTTTTTCAGAACAGATCTATCTAGTCTGGAATTTAATTTTGTATTTCAGACTTCAATAGTTAATTTACAGTCATAGTAGCAATAGAACACTTTGGGTTTTTTCAGCTCAGGGTTGTCAGCCTCAGTGGCTAAAGATTACATTGCACTTCAGTCTCATGTGTAAGGCAGAGCAGTAGTAGGCCAGTATGTAACTCATGAAGATTTGTGAAGTGAAAGGGACACTTCTTGAGAGTAGGTGTAATTTTTAGCTTTGGAATTTTGTGCAGAGTATTCTCACAGCAAGAGGAATTAAATTTTACTTAACAATATTTTTTGTGAACATAAGGGTAGAATATTAGTTGAATTTCTAACTAAAGCCACAGAGAGTATAATAATGTTTTGAAGATTTTTGTTTATTAAATGCAGCTTTGTTTCTGTAGGAAGCTGAAAAGGTAATACTAGAGGAAATAAGCTTGAAAGTGACTTTTTCTGGGGTTTAGCATGCTTTTTCTCAATGCAGTATATTGATCTGTTTACTCTAGTGAATAGATAGTCTAGGTACCTGGCTTCATGGCACAGCATAACATCTCCTGTCTTTACCAGCTCAGTTGATTTGGTTACTTGTTGGAAACAAGGAAGTTGAGGTCTGTCAAAAATGAGTTACATCACTGAGGATTAAAACATGACTTTTTTTCCATGAAATGGATGGATGAGGACCTATCCTGCATGCAGTTCAGAGGATGCAGTATGGGGAACAGTCTGCTTCATTAGATTTTGAGTCCTATTTCTGGGCTCATTTAAGAAATGGGGTGGGGGGGCAGGGTCAGCTTTGCTAAATGCTAGTTAATTTTGGTGCACCCATGAGACAAGATGTTTTTCTTAAGATTTTCTCTCTGAATAATTCAAAGCTTTATATGTATCAGAACTATGATTTACCTGAAGCATAGGTAGGAGATGTGTTGCTATATTGTCAGTCAGTTTTTAATAAAGAAATTAAGTAGCATAAGTTTATAAGATCTTCATTTTAGTTTAGCCAGATTTTGACCCAAATAGATGAATTTCCTGAGTGGTTTGCATATAGTGACTTCACTGTTTGGAGCAGACTTTTAATAGATCCACCTTGTGTCCAGCACTTCCAAACTAATTCTTTTTTGCTGCTTTTTAGTTTGCCTTGATTCTAAGAGAAGATGCATTTTTACTTTTAATGCAGGTTTTTTTCCCCGGACTTAATCCAGAACTCTCTTAACTTGTTGAATATGTCTGTCCAAGAGGATGGGAAAAATTCAATACTCCAAGGAGAAATCCTTCAGAGGAGTCTTTCTATAGCGCAAAATTTATTCTCAAAAACATTTCCTTAGAATGGAAGCATATCAACGTTGAATTACCTGTTTGTATGTGAGGATGGTGGTTTTGCATGTTTGAGATGTTGGAATGGAAATTAGCAAAATCAAATCATTTTGGGAACTAAGCACGAGTTTCAGGAAATCCTAGCTTGGCTTTAACACAGTGCTGCTTTCCTTGAGAGGGCAGAAAAAACTTAAGTCTTGTCTTTCAAGAGAAGCCTCTTTCTAAAGTCAGACTGTGTGGTGGTAATGGATATTGAAAGTTTTTCTGGTGTTAACACAAGGTTAGAAGTGTTACAATAAGAGTTGCAGCTCTGAGAAACTTGTAGGAGGTGAAGATTAGATGAAGTGTGATGGTAAATGCAAATACCTGAGTAGGAACACTCAGAAAACATGGAATAGGTTTTCAAAAGTAATTTGTAAATTGGAAGCTTGTAATCTATTGCATATTAATGGGAATGGGGAAAAATGCTTAAGACGCTTGGAGAAGAGATACGCCACAGCAGCCTGAAATTTTTGAAAATGTTTTCTTGATATGAGAGCTGCAAGCACATAGGTGTTCTAACGATGAGGAGATGAGGGAGGGGAGTATCACAGTGATACGGAGATTGACTAGGGATTGACTGTTCAGTTTGCTGAAATACAAGATGAGGGGTGGTTATGTAAGACTGAAATTCAAACCAAAAGGAGGAGGTTCTTCATGTGAATGATTATGGATCTGTGAAGCTCCTTGTCAGAGGACTTCATTGGTGTAAGAAATTTATGCAGGCTCAAAGGGAAACTGAAGTACATGGAAGAAATCCGTGAAGACTGCCAAACAGACAAATCACATCGGGCTCAGGAAAACACCTGAAAATAGTTGGGGTGTGAAGAACACTTTGGAATATCATGGGTTTTTCTGTTTATTTTTTGAGATGGGGCTGGAGTGTCATATTATGAAGGAGGAAGAATCTGAGCAAAGAGTGACGGCAGAAGAGAGAGAAAAACCAATGGGTGACCAAAGTATTTTCACATTTTAAAATACAAGATTAGAGTGAAATGTTGTAAGCAGTAATGAGAATAGGAAGGACATTTTTTTGTGTGTTTAGTATAAATGTGGATAAATAGGTATTAGTTGGAAGAACTAAAATTTCTAATTATTCTTGTTTATCACACTTTTTATTAGCAAAACCAAATAGGAAGCTGACATTCCTGTACTTGGCCAATGATGTCATACAGAACAGCAAAAGGAAAGGACCAGAATTTACGAAAGACTTTGCTCCAGTAATAGTGGAGGCTTTTAAACATGTTTCAAGGTACAGTAAACTGTTACGTGCAGTGTCCTTCATCATACTGTATTTGAGGGGGATTTAGAGAAGTCTTCAGATTATCTCTTCTGACCCAGCTAGTCTTTCTGTGCTATTTGTGTACTTGAAGTCTTGTTAATTCAATTGATTCAGTGTTCTTTTGGTCTTGGGTAGTCTTAATGCTGTTGGATGAAGTTACATAGTAAATTCATCTGCATTCAGTCGCTTTTGCCTTGGAAAGCTGTTAGCTATACCTTAAATTAAGACTTGCTTTCAGTCTGTGTTTATATGCTACAACAGTTTGATATGTTTCATAGCTAGTGTTGCATGATTTGTTTTTTCCCAGCAGCCATTCATCTTGTTGCATGAGGATGCTAGTCTTGATACAGAATTATTTTCACATGGTACACAGCTGTTGAAGGAACACAAACCTGTTTGCAGTGTTTGCATAATAGGGCTACAAACCTACAGATTTATGGATTGAGCAAGCAAACAGAAAGAGAGAATTGGGCGTTGGGTTTTTTATGTGCTTGCTAAGACATCTTGAACTGGTCTTTGCTTTCTTTAAAATGTGATTTTGGGTTTTTTTTCTGAGATTATTGGACTTTTGATACTTTGATATTGATAAAGTATGCCAAGGTCCTTCTGTGAAAGTAGTGCTGTACTTTTACCTAGTGCTGATTTTTGCTTTTTTTCTTGTAACAGTGAGTCTGATGAGAGTTGTAAGAAACACCTTGGCCGAGTGCTCTCTATCTGGGAAGAAAGGTCTGTTTATGAAAATGATGTATTAGAACAACTTAGGCAAGCTTTGTGTAAGTATTCTGTGTGTATATGAAGATTCAGTCTCTTGTTTGAAATATTATTTCTCTGACTCCTCTGTTTGTTTTCACTTAGATGGAGACAGAAAGGTGAGGAAGCGCACATATGAACAGATAAAAGTGGATGAAAATAACTGTTCACCTCGAAGTTCTCCCACTGACCCTCCACAGGTAAAAGCATGTTTATAAAATTCTGTATTCGTATATGGTTTGATACAGAATTTTTCAGTTACTCTCGGTTTTGAATGGTCTCTGTTTTTCTTTTTAATGAGGTACTGTTTCTGAGCAAAGGTGACTACATCTGAAACTTTTCTTCACAGTACTTTAGATTACAAGTGGAGCTAAGAAGTTGAGCATGCTGTAACTTTTAGTCAGTTTAGCACTAAACCAGAATGTACGAACTATATATCCAGCTTTGTCCAAATTGGGATTTCAGCATTAGTCTCTACAATGTTTTTGGTTCTCCTTTGGTTTCAAGGGTGGTAACTAGTAACACATGTATTAGAATAAGATTGTTACTGGTTTCTCAATAAAGTCTTTCTCAATGTTGCAGTCATGATGGTTGGGAAAAGTTCTTGTCTACCTTGCATTGTTATGGCTTTTATAATTCTTGCGGATTTTTTGTTAATCGCAGTGCCCCATCTCAGAAGGCTTTTTGTTATGGTAAGGAATGACTGTCCTCAAATAATGACAATTTAGTATGTTTCTCTGTAACAGACATCTAGGCTTCTATGAACATCAGCCCTACTTCCAAAAGAAGTGCACTGATCTAGTTTGATGTGATAGTGAAGCAAAACTACAAGAAAAATAATTTCAAAAATGTATAGTAAAATGAAAGGTACTGTAAAATGATCACTACTGTCAAAAATAAAAGGTTTATAAGTAGTCCTATACCAAGAATTTAAATGACAAATCTGTTTTAGGAAGGTGACCTTTAAAACTAGGAACACTGCAATGTATTTATGAGAATTAATGGCTTAATTTTGTTTTGTTTTCAGTCTGAGAGGGGATAGAATGTTGCTATAATGCTGATACAATAAAAGGTTTTAAAATTACCATCAAATTGATTCCATAAGCTTATTGTGAAATAATGTTTAGTGCTAGGATCTGTTTATTTAAACTAGTTCTCAATCTTGCATGCTTTTTTCAGACCACAGATCTCATTAGAGCATTACAAGAACTAGAAAACGCTGCCTCTGGGGATGCAGCAGTTCATCAGAGAATAGCTTCTTTGCCTATAGAGGTCCAAGATGTGTCCCTGTTAGACAGAATAACAGGTGAGGGTTGGGGATCCAGTAACTGAAATGCTGTTCTGAGAACTTAACAGTATATAATGAAATCATGCTTTGCTTGTTTTTCTCTGCTTGCTTTTTAGATAAGGAATCTGGAGAGCAACTTTCCAAAATGGTAGATGATGCATGTATGTTGCTGGCGGATTACAATGGCAGGTTGGCAGCTGAAATAGATGATAGAAAACAGCTAACTCGAATGTTGTCGGACTTTCTCCGATGTCAAAAAGAATTCCTTGCAGAGAAAGAACATAAGCTGGAAGTGCGTAATGTTTTGTTTTAGTCCATTCTTCACTAAAGTTTGTTCTTGCAAATGTTTTTAGTTTGCCTAAACAAATTTTCTCTCCAAAGGTAAATATTTAATCGCCACTGTTAGGTCTTTGCTTCCAGCACATTTTTAACAAGATTTTTTTTTTTTGTTCTAGTGTTCTAAAGCTATTAAACCAGCTCAACGTTAGGTAATGTTAAAACTGTAATCACTTCAGTGTTTGTTGTTCTGGTTTTTTAGCCTATTCAGTCTTCATTATATGTACAGACTTAGTTTTAGTAGTGCAGATAGAAAGTCTTATCCTGAATGGTACAAACTTAGTTCTTCGCAGAGAAAATTTTTTCTTGTTCCTTTAATTCAGTGTTGTAAGTCTTATGTATTACGTTGTTTAATAATATCCTTTTTGTGAATAGAATGATCTTTGTGGTAGTTGTAGGTTTGTGAAGCCACTTAAAGGATAAGAATTTAATTACTGATTTCAGCACAACTTTTTAACCTGACTCAAGCATCCATTAAACCCAGTAAAATGTAGTTTTAGGTTCTACAGCCTCTAACACAGCTGGTTGGCAGCATTTGTAGCGCCAGCACCATTAGGACAGGACAAACCATTAATAAAAGAAGGATGCAGAGTGAGCAGCTCATTATGAGCAAATGATCTCCTAAGTTATTCCGTTCTTCACTATTACATGTCATCTGTTTTCCTTTCCTACCACATAATGCTGTCAAGCCATCCCACGTATCCTAAATAGGTCAGTAATTTCATGTCCATTGCTTCCCAAATCTCTTGTCTCAGCTTTGACACATAGGTTCCAGCACTAACTTGGGTGTTACAGTAATAGAACTGAAGCTGCATCCTTTTGCAAGGGGAGATAGCTGAACAGTTGCATTGCTTCGTAACTGCAACATATGCATGTAGTCCTTGCATGGTGCACAAACTAATTGCTCTTCAGGTTTCAGATTATACAGGCCTGTCAAGAACGTCGTCTTCACTCTGGTTTCTTTACTGTTTTATAACTTCATAACTTGAGTTGAGGTTTTGTGGTGTCTTTGTTTGGGGAGAATGCTGTTCACAATGTATCTGAAGTGATCATTCAGATCAGTTGTGTCATTCATAGACTACTCTTACTTCCTGACTTCCTTACTTTGCTCTATGCCTCACAGAAAAGCAATTGATGAAGGTTCTTCCTATCAACTTCACTGTGTTTATCCTGTGGGAAGAATATCAACCAACTTCACGTAAGATAGATGGTATGCACAGTAGTGCTGATTGCAGTAGCAATTGATCCAACTGCACAGTGGAACCTGGAAGATTAAAAACCAGGAAGCATTAAGCTTTTAATCACCTGCCCTACCTTTGCTGTGTGTGTGATGCGTTTGAAGGACAAGTTCCCACAGTACCAGTGTAGGACTGATTGTCTTGAGACACTCACTTCTTTTTGTGTATCATTACCAGCAATTAGGTATAGTAGACCACTGGGATAGTGAGTTGCTCAAAAGGCAGTGACTTAGTCCTTCAGACAGATTTATACTTCTGTAAAAACAAAAGAGCCCAATTAATCAGAAATTACAAACAGAGTGCAGCTGTGAACAGATTCCACTCTTGTTGGTTTTCAACAAATACAAAACAGTTTAATTTCCCAATATTACTAGATCAAAGAGTTTGTAGAAAACATGTAGAAAAAGCAATCGCTTATTCCCAGGCTGTCATGGTCCTTAAAACTGGTTTTTTTGGCTGAATTATTTAAACTGCTAAAGAATCTCATTCTAATACAGCTTCCAGTTTCAGACTCGTTTCAGAGGTCTTTCTTCAGAAAGCAGGAGCCAGTCTTTGTATCTGTATCAGTCTGTTTTAAACAGATGAAGTCCTAGGATGTTGAGGTATACTGTAAGAGTGTCAGTGTGGTGTAAGTGCAGGTTACTAATAAAGAACTGTGAGCCAAGATGATGTCAACCCAAGGTACTAATAAAGAGTTGTGAGCCAAGAGATTGTAAAGAACAAGAACCTTAAAATAAGCTTCTAAACTTGTGTTAAGATGAGTGAAATGACTTTATGCTCGCTACCATGCTCGCTACCAGTAGTGCCTTTTGGTGTGGGAATTGCAGGCTGATAAACATTCTGAAGTTTTGAAATGCAAGGTCAGGATGTCTTCAGGATACTGTCTATATGGCCAGCTGACTTAGTTTCTCTGGGTTTTTTTTAATTATTTTAAAGAGATGGCTATCTTCTGGTGTAAATACCAAATACCTGTAGCCAGATGCATTTGTTTTCTGAAGCAAGGACTCTGTTTTTACAGTCTTGGGAAATACCATACCTCACATTGAGCCTCCTTGGCTTCTCATTTGAAATAGCACTGGAAAAGGGCCTGTCACCTAATTCTTTGAGAATGTATTTCCTGAACTGTCTCTCCCTAGGTTTTGCTGCTCAAGTTTAATTTCTGGTGAAATTAATTTGTTTTAGACAAGCTTGTTTCCTTTGTTAGACTTCTGGCTATTGACTCTTTTTTGAGTATAATATGGTCTCTGGGTTGTATCATATCAAGTCTTCATTTCTTTCTGAATTAGTATAACCCATCTGTGTGTATATTGCTGAGATCTTACCTTATTACTTTGTCGAATGCCCAGGTATGGTAAGAAACAAGTGGTTGTATTCTTAGTGGAATCTAGAAATATTACCTGCTGTTGACCTGGTTTAACGGTATTAGAATTTGAATTCCCAGCGAATTCTTGCTAACTTTAAAATTTAGATGGGAGCTTTAGACCTAAATTTTCAGATCTTCTATCTTTTGAAGAAAATCTACAGGTGAGTAACTTTGAATAACCAGTCTGTCCATGAGTACTTTTTTAAAAATGAGAGTTTCTCTAATAGTTATTTCTAAATAGAAGTGCATGATTCGCATCAAAATCAAGGTTATGTATGCATTAAATCTTGACAGGAAATTTTGACAACAGATAAATAATACGAGCTATCATGACTGCATCAAAAGCTAACTGCTTAGTAGTGGCTTTCATAAGTCTGCTCTGGGTAAGTAGTGTCATCTTTAACTCTTAAATTGTTTTCTTTAACATCTGTCTAGCTTCTGTTGCAGGTGGTGGACATGGACCTATCTTCTAATGATGTCACCATCCATTAGTACACACATCCTGCTAAAAATAAATTTAAGAATCAAAATCTTGTATTGTCTGTTGTTTTTGAAAACTGAAGAGGAGGAATTCTGTAACTACTCATACCAAACCTCTGCTATTTTCATCTATATTCTCACAAATGTGGCCGAGTTTATGCCTGAGGTGGATAAGTATTTATCCAGTGTCATTCCTTTTTCTTGAAGATTAAAACTTTCATGTGGTTGTTCCTAAAACTCACAAGTCCTTTCAGTTAAATCGTTCGAAATTCCAAATGCAAAAGTTTGGGTGTGAATTGCATTGAAGCTGCCATTACCAAAAGGAAAGAGCTGTGAAAACAAGACTTTTTCACACTTTCACTTTTTAGCTTACACTCTAGTTCTTGGGTTTACATGAACATCAGAAATGAGAAGTGATGGATGTGGAACTTGTCCTTCACAAGCACAATAAAGAACTTTCACTTTATTAATATACATCTTAACATTTTATGTAGGTAACAGAGATGTATTTATAATTGTTCTTATGCCCCTTTAGAGCCCCCCCCTCAAATTTAGGATTGTCTTAAAGAGCATTTTCCCTTCACTTTTGTAAGTGTTAAAGTAGTATAAATATTTAAGGTTCAGCGTACTGTAGTTGTATATAGAAGCTTGTATAGGATTTATAGGTAGATGTGATTCTATCTGTTAGAGAAAATGGAACTTTTTGCAGAAAGGTGTGGTTTTTTTTTTTCCCCTCAGAACTTTGAGGACTAATATCACTTCCTGTTTTCTACTGCTTTGGCTGACTCTTCCCTCTCTGCTTCCTCATTGTACCTCTCTCCTACCTCCCTGCCTGTTCCTTAATTTTTGAACAGAAATGTTGGTTGATCTGTTGATCTCACTGAAGGCTGATAAAAAGAGCTTTTTATGTTATGCAGGAGCAGAAAATTAGGTATACATAAATTAATATCCAGGTGCGCTTATCTCCTCGTGATAAAGACTGTCCTGTAGACATTCTAGAATTAACACGGCCTTAAATACAGGGATGATACGAACAAGAGAAGTACTTGATTTACTGTTTTGCCATATTGCTTTGCATTTGCCTTTTCCACAGTCTCATTGATTACTGAGTAAATAGACTCTTACTAAATTTCAAATAAAGACTTTGATAGTTCAAAATCTTACACAACTTACTAATGAGTGTGGGCAGGGGATCATATGACCTTTTTCTAGAAAAACAAGACAGCCTCCTCTCACCTTCATTTTGATGTTATGGAAAAATGTAGCATCACTACAGCGTATACTCGATGACACGGTTTCTTACATAGTGTTTCTATCAACTTACCACTTCAAATTGGGGAACATCTTGTCACTAAATCCAAATTTTTATGAAGGAAATGCTACTCTGGGAGGCCTGCTATGTTTTAGCAGCTTGCATTTAATTAAGACACTTTTATTGATGGTGTTGCTGTCTTGCATTCCTTATTGTCTACAGCTGTATAAACAATATTCATATCCTTACACTCACACATGTGGTTATAATTGCGGTTTCTTAGCATGTTGAGAAAATATTATATGTTCAATGCACTTTCATTCATGATTGGGCTTTATAGCTCAATATAGTTTGACTTGTCTTCCTAAGGGTTTAATTTTGTCATGGGGTTATATGAGTGAAGAGCAAGCAGTTAGTCATCCTAGTCTAGCTCTGGAGTCAAAAGCTTTTTTTTTTCCTCCTGTTCAGTTCCAGCTTAATGGTTTCAAATGCAGACAAAAATGTTAAGCAAAGAATTTAGGGATGGCAGTGGTGAGTAGGCCTCTTGTCTTTAGGTTTTGTTTCTCAGTGCAAGACTGGATTGATACTATTGTCTGCTGTTTCCCTCCACCATGGCCTTTGTG